ATGTGGACAATGACATGCCTGCAGAGATGACCAACGGGGAGGAAAGACACTAACATGAAACAGTGATTTTCCAATAAAGATGATAAAATCAGGTTTGTTTTATTTTATTTAAGAGACTGAATTTTCCAAAATTCTAAAATGGGCCCATATTTAGTGAGAGGAAACAGGAGAAATGACACTGGGTGATATAAGTCGGAAGGGGGACCATCTTACACAAGATAGTTAGGGAGGGCTTCTCGAGAGAGGGGCCACTTTAATTGAAAAGCGGCGAATGGAAGCAGTACCTGAACTCTTCATTGTTGTTTCCAGGCTCAGGGTAGGGCCTGAGTCAGGGCAGACATCTGATATAAATTTGGGTTCACCCCCCCCATCAAATTTTATTTACCATCCATTTGCAAGACTGTATAATTTTAGGAGCATAGCTTGAGACTTATTTACTAAACGAACAAGAGCTAATGAAAAACTGGTGAAGAGATGCCCTAACTGACCTTAACCTGGTTCTTTAGTGGGTTCATTCTCACCTAAGGTTAGGGAAGCATGAGCAGCTGAGCCCAGGGAAACCTCCCTGCAACAGGACCTATTGGCCATATACAAGCTGCCTGGTTTCAGGAAACTGACCATGCTCCACTGCCCAGCATGGAAAAAGATGCCATGTCAGCCCCAGCCTGTCATCCCAACTGTGCTAACTGTGTTTTCCCGTCTACTCTGTAGAAGCCTCAGCTGGAACAAAGAGAGATGAAAGAGGGGGCCTTGCCATGGGGAGTCACAGCAGCCTGGGACAACCAGATGAGCAGACTCAAGGGTCCTTGTAGGGTGAGCCTTGGGCAGGAGAGCCAGAGGAAAGGTTCCAGATGAGAAACACCTAATTTGCTAAAACAGTAACAATAGCCACTAGTGGGGGAAAGTCATTAAGCATCTCCTGGGTTTTTGTATATTACTTTATTTTTCTTCACAAATGGTACACCAATGAGGTCAGAGTCTTGCTTATCAAGGTCACAGAGCTTGGAGGCAGCAGTGCCAGGGCTCATCCCTTAGTCTGGGCATTCAGGGTCCATGAGCCTTGGGGCATACTACCACACTGAGGAACGTGCAGGTGGATGGATGGTGGTGGTGGGCAAGGCAAGTAGAGGGGAGAGGAGTGAGAGGTGAGAGCGTGCTCCGTTCTGGGACTGAGAGCTGAGAGCTAATGTTGGCATGCAGGCTGACACCAAGGGCCAGTGGGGTGGTGGCTTCTTCACACAGTGAAGCTGATGTGAGCAAATCTGCAAATAGGTTTCACAGAGAAAATGTCTCTTGGGCTTTCAGCCTGCTGTACACCCCCCGCCAGGGGATCTTGTCCCCTAGATCCAAGGGACAATGGACCAGTGGTGATTCCTTTCCAGGCTCCAGCTGTTCAGGAGAACCTGCCCAGGGTGAGTGGTAGCACCTTAGGTGTCACCCCAAGCAACCCACAAGCCAGGCCCCGTCACCCTGATGTGTAGAAGCAGGGGTTCTTGGGCAAGGGTTCTGTTAGAGAGCCCCCAGACCCGCGGCCTGTCATGGTGCAGGCTGTCTCCTCACTGGGAGCAGAAAGAAGTGTGTGGGCAGGACAGGACAGTGACTCCCCATTCATCCCCAGTTACTCAAATACTAATCCAGCTGCTGCTGTGATGGGACCTAGCAAAAGAAACTAAAGTTACTAATGTGCTGAGTTTAAAATAGAGATAATCCAACCTGACCCAATGTAATCACATGAGCCCTTGAAAACAGAAGAAGCCGGCAAAAGAGAGATGCAGCAGGGGCCACTAGAGAGACTGAATAGTGAGGACCCAACCTACTTTTGGTAGCTCTGCAGGGATCACAAGCCAGGAAATGCAGGTGGCGAGAAAGAACCCAAGGAAAAGGGAACCTCACTCCATGATTCCATGGAATCAAATTCTGCCAACAAGCTAAATGGATTTGGAAGTGGCCATCACAGAGATGTAGTGGTACTGACACCTTGATTTTGGCCTGAGATGCAAACAGAGATTCCCTTAAGTCACCCTCAAGATTTCTAACTTACAGTATCCAGGAGACAATAGATGGGCATTGTTTTAAATATCTAAATTTGTGGCAATTTGTTACAGCGATGATGGGAAACAAGTAACTCCCTTCATGAGCTATCCGAAGACATTACCCTGCCCTTGGGAGTGGATAGCACAGGGCCTGGGAGAGAATGGCGGGGCTGTCAGTTTCACACAGCCCAAAGGAAGGAAAAAGGCCACCACCAGGTCTGGGAAGGGTGTATCATTCATGAGTAGGGCTAAATTAATCCCCTCATTCAGCATTTCAATTGAAACCAACATCTCACAGGCATTTGCTGCAACATAAGACCTTATGGGGTATCTGGACCCTTATCTCATGGGAAGAAAAATGGCCAGAAAGATGTGATGCAATAAAATGGGTCCCATGAGAGAAACAAAGGTCCTTTTGCAATAAGAGGTCAAAGAAAGGTCACCAGCCCTGAAGGTTCAAGGTTTCCCAGGCCCTGTCTTGGGTCTTTATGGTCCAGAAAGGAGGCTAGGTGGGTGTGGGCCACCTAGAAGAGAACAGCAGGGACACAGAGATAAAGCATGGCACACTCAGGAGGTCACAGAAAAGGTACTTGGTCAGCAAGCAGGCCAGAGCAAGTCTCCAGAGGCCAGAAACGGAAGTTGGACTGTGGATGCTAAGCAAAAGGGACATTATCTCAGGACCCCACGCCCTCTGAAGCAAGGATAGGCAGGCCTGTGCTGGTGGACCAAAGCCCCCACTGCTACAAGCCCTCTGTAAGTGAATTCACAATTTGGTTTGTGTATCCACCTCACAGGCAGCTGTGTTGTCTGCGCCTGACATGTAGCCAACAATCTGTGTTGAAGGTAAATATAAAGACAGGGCAGGTCCCCGAGACTGAAACATCAGGGAAACAGTAAGGAAGGGTGTCCAATGTACAGAACTGTACACAAAAAAATCAGCTGAGAGGGCCACTGACAGCAGCCACCTACCTGGGGCTTTGGCACAAACCTGCAAGCAGGCTCAGACCTCCCTAAGGGGTGTGGCAGTGATGACTGGCCACGAGGCTCCCTGTTCTAGATGAGGAGAACCAGGTGCTTGTCTAAATGAGTTCTAGAAGTGGGAAATGTACTCCCAACTTGTCTCCACCAGAAAGCTGGGAGACGCACCCTCAGATCATCTGGCTGCAGACACTGAGCAGGACTCTTGTTCTAACAGGGAATACCTGGCTCCACCCAGAGCTGCTGACAGGCTCTTCCCTAGCGCAGGCTTTACTTTCCATGTGCTAATAGCTGCCTTTACTTTAGCTAAGAGGTGCTTTTCATGTTTCCGACTTTCTAAACCTCAAAACAACCTTCAAAGCTTTGATTAACCCACTGCATAGTTCGAGTAGGCCAGGAATTTTCCTTTTTTTTTTATTTTTATTTTTTCCTTATTTGACAAATCCCTTCTCAAAAGGCAACAATAAAAGAAAAACAAGGACCTCTGAAGATACATCTATGACATCAAGGTTCAACTTTCCCTGACGATAGGCAAGGTTCCCTCAGCTGGAGTCTCCCAGGACAACCTGATTACCCCTGGCTGAGTTTCACATGGGTGAAACTGTAGGGAGATTCCCCCAAGGCTGGGCTGTCCACCCATACCATGTGTTAGTGCCGGCCTAGGAAAGCCAGTCCCCTGTGTCTGGACTGTGGCCCCTGCTTTTCTCTGGGAAAGCCCTTCCTAGTTATATCATGGAGATGCAGAGTTACCAGTCTGCACGTGCAGGAAGCGGGGTGGGGTTGGGTAAGGGACAAAAGCAGCAGGTCAGCAACCAGGGCTCTGTTGAACAAGAGAAGCAGTGATAGAGAGCAGTCTCGAAAGTGCCCAGCTAAGGAATGGGAGTGCTCCACATCAGAGCTGAAGCAGCACTGCAGGCGCTTGGGAACCATTCAGGAGGGCCCCCAACTTTAAACAGCCAAGGGCACTGAAGGATGCTAGGTTTCCCAGCAGGCAGGGCAGGAGGGCCTGGCCACTGCTCCGTGGAATCCGACTGACGGCAGGCAAAATCAGTCAAAATGTTTCCAGTCCACTCCTAACCTGCGGAGTGGAGGGAGGGTGTCAGGAAGCACCTGTTTTGGGGGTCATTTGCAGGCCAGGTCCCAGGGACTTTGCCTAGTGGCGCTGCGGGGTCTTATTCCCTCTCCAGCACCTGCCCGGCACTTGGGCGCAAGGGGCAGATCCAAGACGGCCATGGGGCACAGGTACTCTGCCCCGGCCACTTCACAGGCAACTAGAGAACTGTGAGCCGGCCGAGCCCAGCCCTGAGAACCGTCGGTTCCGGGTAAACACTTCCCCTCCGCCCAGCACTGACTCCGCACTCCGGCCTCCGCGCTGCGCGTGGACGAGCCCACCGCCTTACTCGCACACTAGCGCGCCAGCCGCCCTGGCTAACTCACCCCCTGGCTCACACACTCCCACACTCGCCCGGGCCCGGCTCCCAGCAAGCGGCACCCCCACACCACCCCCGCCCCCGGCCCCGCCCCCCTGGCCAGTCAGCTCCCCCCGCGGCTTCCTCCGTGACCGAAGCCCCAGCACCCGGGCGGCATTTCCATACCCTACCCGGCCCCGCCCCCGGCCCCGCCCCCCCACTCACTGGATCTTTGGTTTTTGATGAAGAACAGCTTGAGCCGCTCCTTGAACGTGTTCTCGTTGACGTAGAACTCCACCTGCACCCTGGGGGGCGAGAGGCCATGGGAGCAGGCCCGCAGC